AAAAAAAAGCGCGGACGTATGGTGCCACGGAAGAGTGTGAAATAGGGGTTCGGAAGGGTACTTATCTGCCGCCTTCCAAATGACCTCAGATAAATAATGCCAGATTTATTCACTTCGATGATGCAGCAAGATGTCTGAGAGAAAACGCACATAGTTTAAGAAAAAAAAAAAGTCACAGTTTCGCCGCAAGGGCGAGGCAATAGGAGTTTTAGAATAGCGCACCGCGAGCACTTGCGGTGTAGTGCCTAGAAGAATATTCGAACGCTGCCCTTCGCGTTCGAGGCCCGCGAAGTGCTGTGAATAGGTCGTGGTCACTAAAGCAGCGCCCGCAACACCTGCAAACGTTATTAGGGAGTTTTAGAATAACGTTTGCAGGCACTGCGGGCGCCATATGAGCTTTAGAATAGCATTGCCCCCCCCCCCCCCCCCAGGGAAAAGTCTAGAGACTTTCGCCCTGACCTGAAACCCAAATGCATGGAAGCTACAAACAGCACCTCGCGGGCCACGATCGCCACACGATTCTCTACGTGCGGGACGCGAACACGGGCGACTCGCGTTACGACGCATGCGCAGTGGCAGCGACTACATCGCGAGGGCTCGCTCGCGGTGCGCTATTCTAAAGCTCCCTAGTGAATGTGACAGATGAAATTGGAATGTAACACTGAGAACAGCAAGCATATCGAAACGTGCAGCGCGCTGCTCACGCACAAATGACGCACGAAAACAGCATACACAGGACGAGAGCGAACAAACAACGTTTACCTAACAACGCGCCGTTTAAACAAAAACGAGGCACGACACGTAATCACTGACAGAGTGCGAACTCGCAAGTGCCCCAGTTGTTACTTCGCTGTGTTTGAAATGCACACTATTTTCGCAAACGGCTCTTGTCCAGCGAGCGAAGTGGTCTTTGTGCGACCAGGAACTAAACGAATCGTTCCGGTCAAAGCCGAAGGCACGCGATTCTTTTTACCTATATTAACTTTTAAGTTTCCACGGAAAGATAACCGCGCGCACACAAGCATCTACCCACCCACCCTTCGCGGGGCAAAGTATGCGTGGGAGATAAGCGCGCGTTTTTTTTTTTTTTTTTCTCTGGAGTTTTCATATATGTAGATACATATACGGTGAATGACAGCGGCAGCAAAAAAAAAAAAAAAAAGACCAGTCAAGATTATGGCAATAAAGAAAAACACATTCAAAGCTTTTCCTGCTCGACGTGGTGGGGATGGGTGCCATTCCCATACACATATAGACCACTTGTAGTGAGTGCGTCTTAATGGAGGGGAGAAGAATATATTTAACAAAACATGAAATCCGGCAAGGTGATAATGGCTTTTGGGAGTATTGCGTTAGTATTCTTGAATGCCCCTTGACTCAAAGTCAATGGGAGCTTCTTTTCCAGTGGAACAAGTCCATGCATATCAGAGATAATCTGTAGTGATCACTAGGAAGGGCAGCATCAACTTTAGTCAAGCAGCAGTGCTCGGCTCGTTCAAATGAAGGACTAAATTCGAGTCAGGGCTTCTTTAAGAATATGAAGGTTAGAGTGCCAATTCCGTCATTTATAATAATGAAAGGCACTACCTTTATTGGGGCTTCACCAGCAAATGTAAATGTGTGTGCACACACACACGCACACACACACACATATATATTTATATATATATAAGGAAAAGAAGTGTATACCTAAGGGCTCATTTTTCTGTGTTTTGACACAATAATAATCAGATCTAACAGACAATAATGCCAAGGAATGTATAGGGGAAGCTATCAGAATCAATGTAAAGTAAATAAGAAGAAAGAAAAGTAGGTGAAAAAAATAACTTGCCATGAGCAGGAATCGAACCTACGACCTCCGAATAACGCGTTCGATGCTCTACCACTGAGCTATCACGGCGGCCATTCCCCCAGCCACTTTATTGGGTTTATATGCGAATTTAAACGTGGGAGTGTCAGTCGGTGCCACCGGTAGCCATGGTGGCGAGTGTGGTACACTCTTTTTATGAGCCTGTGTGGCGTCACGTAGCACGTGAACTTATTATGAGCTGGCAGCTGACCAATAGTCCCTCGTATACAACCTAACGGCACCAAGTCTGCCAGTACGAGAATGAGTTACGTCTTCATAAAGCATGTGTGCAAAGTGAGCGCCAAGCGTTGAGCTTATCAGGATTTCGAATTGCTTGGCTACACTCTCCTTATTTCCACTTGCACAATCAAAAACTAACAAAATGCAGCGAAATCACAAGTTTATTGTGGATGATAATCTTACGAGACGCGAGGAAGAATGGGTGTGGCGGGTGGCGAATGCATGGCAAGGCAGGGTAGAAAATAATTTACAATTCATATTTCTCGTCTATGGACCACGTTAGAGTATGCGCCCTAATCATGTCACTGTTCTTGCGTCATGACGGACGTCAAAAGAGCTTCAGAAGCTGTTCTAGGGTTCTTACAGCGCATGTAAACACGGAAACGAGAGCAATCACAACACCGCAAATGCCGTTCTCGGAAATCTTAAAGCTGCAGAAAAGATTGATTGATTTGTGGGGTTTAACGTCCCAAAACCACCATATGATTATGAGAGACGCCGTAGTGGAAGGCTCCGGAAATTTCGACCGCCTGGGGTTCTTTAACGTGCACCCAAATCTGAGTACACGGGCCTACAACATTTCCGCCTCCATCGGAAATGCAGCCGCCACAGCCGGGATTTGATCCCGCGACCTGCGGGTCAGCAGCCGAGTACCTTAGCCACTAGACCACCGTGGCGGGGCAAAGCTGCAGAAAAGAAGGTGAAGCGATGTATTTTATGCCCAGATTCCCCGCTTGGCTATAAGTTAGACAAACAGCGGCACGCCGCACATTATTGTGTGACGGCGGCGGTGGTGTGGTCTCTCTCGGAACTTCGGCGGCGACGCGAACGGCGTGAGCAAAAACAAGCGGCAACGCTGGCGTTCGCAGCAGGTTGAGTTTGTTTGTGAGAAGTAACAGGAGCACACGCTTCCAGCTTTAGTTCCTAGCATGCCATAGCCGCATTTGCAGATAAGAAAATTGCATATTTCTCGCAAAGTGTTGCTGGCTACGGCAACGCATTTTTTAGTCTTGAAGTTGCGTCGTCACGCCGATAGAGATCCGCTGTGGTCAGTGGACCAAAGGGCGCGCGAAGTTGTTACTTTATCTGGTCAATCGCATTTTGCGAGTATGGTCTGCGTGCCTGAATCCCTAAATTGATTGATGAAGCAAACTACAGCTGGCCAACGTGGCCTCCATTTCTCATTGAAATTAGCGGAACTGAGAAAATTTAGAGGCTGATCAGGCATTTTTGCGCAGAGTGGCGCAAGAGTTTTGGCGCAGTTCAGCACACAAATAAGGAATGGTATCAACTTGGCACAACTAGTGCAGCTGTTGGACCCCTGTTATATTGAACACAGGGCCACGTACTGTGTCGCTAGTCGCTCCTATGGCATTGTCGCACACACGCCACATAAAACTATCTTGCAACCGCACCTGAATTGGGTGACGACAAGCTCCGAGTCCGAGAATGACAGCACCTCAGCTTCAAGTTCTTATGGCTACAATGTAATGCGTCAGCCTGAGACATCCGTAGCTGTTCAGGGGTTGCTTTTGTTTACGACCTGGAGTGGTCTCCTCTGCCACACGTGCGTACCTGCTGACAATTGGGACCAATCTTAGAGAAACTCTGGTGATATGCAAGGTCCACACGTCGCTAGGGCGCAATGTGCTATCCCCCGGCTGCAGAGCTTCTTCTTACAAGACGGCCGCCGGAGCAAATGTCGGCCCTGCACTACGGAGCGGCGCGAGACGTTTCAAGATTGAACGCGATTTTGTTATTTCTTCAATACTACCTGTGAAAATACAAAAAAAATATGCTTGGATAGATATAATGAAACGCCAAACTATGCGGAGAAAAGTGGCTCATGGAAATAGGTGATGCTAGACATTCATTGTACATCTGATCTATTGAGAGATATTTCAAGTTATGGGCATACAATTACATTAGAGCACCCGAAGGCTCTTATTGTAAAACGAACAGTTATTGACAAATGTGCACGAGTGCACCTATGCATCACGAAAAATTAAGCAATGCCTCCCCACATGACGCGAGCAATGAAGCAGCACCTTGGTGCACATTTTTTTTTGTGTATGTTAATAAAAACATTGTGAAGAACTTCTATTAATTTTTATACAATTCCTGGGTCCTTCATTTTCAAGAAATATATTATGAAATTTCTTCGTTTTCAATGTTTTAGCATATAAGTATTTCTTTATTGCATTACTCACCAGATGGGAACCAAAAATTACACCCTTTTCACATTTTTATTCATTCCAAAATATTTTTGTTCCTCTACAAGATATATTTTTCAGAAGGAGCATTTCATTGTGCATAATTTTATATACTGCAATTCATGATAGAGTGCTTGCCAAACAGGCAATGCCGAGACATAAAAAAAATAGTAATTTTCTTGTGGTAATGAAAAAATTAACATGCACTGACATTGCACAGTACACTGGCCTCTACCACTTTGGCTCCATCAAAATGTGACCACCATGGCTGGGATCAAACCCAGGGCTTGGAGTCAAACAACATTTTAAAGATTTTTTAGTAAGCAGTCTATGCTAGCTTAGATGAAAAGCAATGAAATAAAATAGTGAGAATTTATGCATTGTTTTTACATCTGGTTTCATTCAAACAAACCTGTTGCAACAAACCTGTTGCAGGAATCTAATAAATAGAAATCTGGAAGCACCTAAGTGTAGCGTCATTCAGTAATGATTTTAAGCAGATAGGTTACAGTACCTAATATTATTTCTCATATCTACATCCTGAATTATTTTGGGGTGACCTGTAACAAGAAATGTGCCATTAACAAAAAGCATGGTCCTCTAAGCTTGAAGGCGAAAACATGGCTTGCCGTGGAGCAAGTAGAGGAACTGGCCTATCTGCAAACATTTCTGTTGACAAGTATTGTGTGTATGCTCACCCTTTGTTGCCATTTCTTGATGTTTTGCTGTGACTGTCACCAGATCCTTTCTGGTCAGCATTTCCATTTCTCTTGTTAGCCACAAATGTAGAACCTTCAGTGGCCTCTGTCAGGAGAGAACCATAAAGGAGCTGCACCAGCCTGGCACAAGCATTGCAAATGTCTCGCCTCGTGACCACTCTCACATGTTCCACAGGCACAGTCAACTCGCTGATCCCTTTCCATTTGACCCGTTAGATGGTTTATTGGCTTGTGTTAGCATGAGTTTGTGGCCTGCATTCTAGGCCACACCAGCTCTATTTCATTGCGGACAAAATGCAACACCACTATACTTATTCTTAATGGGGCCCTGCAACACTTTTCTAAGTAATCTTCGAATGGCTTCATTAGAGAGCGTATTCCCTCACAAATTTTAAAGTCTAGGAAGTACAAACACGGTTACATGGATTTGTTGAACGCTTCAAGCTATGAAGGGGATGGATGACAAGGAGTCCTAGACCGCTTTATCTGCTCTTCTCTCATTCACAACCTCATATCGGACATGGACACTGAACCCGCCGACGGGTGCATCGGTAAGCGGAAAAGGCACATCACTCCGCTTAAGTCTCTACACTTTTCTGAGGAGATTCAAGCAGCCATCAAAACAGCCCAAGCGTATTTCGAGAAGCAGCTAGATAGCCACTTCAACTCAGTTCACCAGCTACTAACGACGCAGTACGAGGCCTTCAACTCCTTGCGCATGGACCTTTTTCCCTTCAACAACATCCCTTCAATCACTTCAGGAGACAATCAATACCCTACACGCTTTCATGCTCGAGAGCATTTGAGCAAAGCCACCACTTTACATACCGCCTCCGCTACCCGACGTTCACAATCGCAAGCTGAAGAAGCTTCTGTTATGCTAATCATAGGTGACTGCTCTATTGTAACTATTTGAAATGGGAACTGTCGAAATGGGAACGACCTTTCACAGCGGACTGACCAGCTACTGCCGGACCTCGACAATATCACGGCCTCAATCACCACTACGACAAGCCATACGGCGACTCACTGCAGCCTTGCTCACTTGCAGGCTGCTCTTGCAAGCCTTACCAACTGCTGGAAGAAGCAATGACACAACAGTAGTCTTCAACGCCGAATCGCATACCTTCACCGGTAAATCGTAACGCACATAACCGCCCTTTCACCAGCAACGGGAAAAGCTCTGCACGGGACTTTCCAGTCAGATGGGTTGTAAGCAATCATGGCATCTCCTACGGCATCTTCTCAACTCTACGTCTCCGGTGTCTGTCACCCAGCAGAAGCTGCAGCGCGTGATTTGGGCCCATTCCAATGGCACATCATCACTCATGAAAGACCTGGCTGCCAAGTAACTCCAACCCTTGCCCTCTGATGCTCCCTCTGCCCTTTCTGAGAGCTATTCTGTGTCCCCCCAACCCCGAACGAGACGATGACATCATGAAAGCGGAGGTTTACGCAGCTCGACTCAAGCGTCGCACCAATTCTGCCCCTGACCCTGACTGAGTGCCCAATAAGCTTCTTCGCAATCTTCATGCCACTTCGGTCATCACACTTACTTTTTTTCTCAATCACTGCTGGTGCTCCGGCAATATCCCGAAGTCATGGAAGCAGACGTGCATAGCTTTCCTTCTGAAACCTGGCAAAAAGCTCGCGATCAAAAATCTCCAATCCACCTCTCTTACCTCCTGCATCGGCAAGCTCATAGAACACATAATTCTTGCTCCCTTGCAAACACACCGGACGCCCACAGGCTCCTTCCCCATACTATGCTTGGTTTTCATCCTGGACTCTCAATGCAAGACGTTCTCTTGCAACTTCACCACGACCTCCTGAGCTCATGCACTTTCTCGGACACGAAGGCCCTTCTCAGCCTCTATGTTCATAAGGCGTTTGACCAAATCTTTCATTAGGCTATCCTCACTGAACTTGGAGTCCTAAACCCCGGCACTTGACTCTTCAACTATATTCACTTTTTCCTTACTGATAACACTACCAAACTCCATTGTGGGAGATCTTATGTCTCCCACGTACGCTTTCGTGCTACACCCCAAGGCTTAGTCTTGTCGCCTTTTCTTTTGAACCTCGCCCTCCGCTCGCCTACCGAAAAGCTAGACTGCATCCCTGGCCTAAAACACACCCTGTATGCAGATGGCATGACTTTTCGGGTCACTTCTGGTTCCAGATTGAACAAACCTTGCAATGCACCACCGATGTTGTGATGAGCCATGTGCACAAGGCTGGTCTAACCTGCTCGGCAGCCAAATCGGCTCTTCTCATATGGTCCCCCGACCACCATTGCCACAAGACACCCCACCCCACACCACCATCATGATTTATGCCAAATCCAACCCCGCGCCCGTCGTCCCGCATCTCTATGTGCTGGGGTTGGTCTTGCAGTCCAACCGTCGCAACACTCACTCACACTATTGACCAGCTCACGCATGCTAGCTCGTGCTTGAGTGCAGCGTGAGGCTATGCGCAAACGCGATCTACTCCGCCTAATTGACGCTTTCGTCACTACCCATCTCACCTATGGCCTGCCTTACACTCACCTCCTCAAATCCGAACGCGACAAGACGACAATGTTCACGTGCTCATCCGCCGAGCCTACAAGACTGCCCTTGGTCTTATCAAGAGAACGTATCAACAGAACACCTTTTCCGCCTAGGGGTACTCAACACCATCGACGAGTTGATTGAAGCCCAACGTACTGCTCAAGTGCAGTTACTATGTAGTTCAGTGACTGGTCGTTGGTTCCCTTCTACCATCAGCAACGACACCTCTGCTCATCCACCAGACCTGGTCTCACTAACGCACGCAATTTGGGCAGTTTTCTGCATCAAGCCACTACCCAAGAACATGTTCGCAGGCCACCATGACAACCGCCGCCAAGCCAAAGTGGCCATGCTTCGTAAAGAAAACGACAACCACCCAGCCGTCTGCGTGGATGCAGCTCATTACGCCTAGCCTCACGGCACCTTTGCCATTGTCTATGTATCGCCCTTTTCGCCACCGCACGGGAAGACAACGCCCATAGCCGCCACCGTGTGCACAACCTACGCTGTCAAGGCAGAGGAGGCGGCCTTTGCCTTGGCTGCCATCTCCACCAAAGCCAGTGTAGTACTTTGTGATTCTAAGCCCGTCATCTCAAACTTCGCCCGAGGCCTTGTTACGCCTATCACACTGCAGTTCCTTTGCCCACTCTTGCTGCGAGACGAACCACGCCACATTAAAATGGTCTGGGTCCTCACCCACTCAGGTGCAGCAACAAATCGGCTCACCAACATGCTCGAGGATTTGTCAACCGAGTGGTGGGCTCCTCAGAGTCGGACGTCCTGGTGCCCGAACGCCTGGTGACCTACCATGACATCGCCTAACACTATCGCATTGAATGGTACGCCTACCCATCCCCTCATGATAGCCTTCCCAAGAGGTGCCAGATCGCCTGGCGCCGACTGCAGACCCACACCTTTCCGTGCCCCCTCGCGTACTACTATATCAACCTGGGCGTTATTGATTCACGCTGTTGTCTAGGTGGAGGTGTTGCATCGCTCACCCACATCCTCTGGACTTGCCCGGAGGACCTTCCCCCCACCGACCAGATTTCACCAGCCCTCTTCAAGGAGCAATGGGAGGCACTTCTTTTCAGCACAGACCAAGACGTCCAAGCACAGGTCCTGGCAAGAGCTGAGGATACCATCGAGAAGCACGGCCTGGCAGCATACATAGCCTGCTGAACCTCCCCTTACGCCTACACCCCTGATGAATAAAGTTGTTGCTCACTCACTCCGTGGCGGCCGTTCTTTACTCCATAAGAATTCATTAAGGTACCAAATAAATTTATCAACAAACAATTATAATGCTTTCATGAGCAAGAAGTACCATCAATCGCACTGCAGAACCAAATTCGTAATTTTAGTTTGTCAGTAGATTTCTTTTCGTCCGCGTGATGCTGGGTTACTGCTGCTGCAACCTTGAAAGGCCGGATAGATGCGGCAATGTGGAGGTGCAAAGAAGAACCTGGCAAGCAGAGATTGATTGATTGATTGATTGTGGGGTTTAACGTCCCGAAACCACCATATGATTATGAGAGATGCCGTAGTGGAGGGCTCCGGAAATTTTGACCACCTGGGGTTCTTTAACGTGCATTCAAAACTAATGGCAAGCAGAGAACGTACTGGTGTGCAGCCCCTATACAGATATTCCTTTTACCCCTTTGCGCATACTTGAATGCTGTGCATGCCCAAAACTCCCGAATATAGCTAACTGAGACACACGAGCGAGCATGGCCAAAGCATGCATCCTTGGGCACCTTCTCACTGCTTCTTGGAACAGCGTCCATTTTGGTATCGCTGTTCTGCAAGGGTCGATCAAAGCAAAAATCATTTGCGACGTCACGAATCGTCATGCCAACCCTAGTCGACGCTATGTATGACAATGACGGCAATACAGGTCTTAAGACATGACTGAATGTGTGGTTCTAGTAGGCGAAATTTTTGAGGAGCAGCTGAGCCCAATGTCGCTCTTTTCTGTGGAGGAGTGGTCTGCTGCGGTGCGATCTGGACGTGACTGCGAGGAAGCGCTCCCAGCGCTAAAAATGGCGGGCCTGCCTGACGTTTTCAATTGTGCTAGATCCCAGTGATATAAATCAATAAAAGTGATAGTTATTAGTCCCTCAGGTGCGTTTTAGTTCAAGAATCGCTACTAAGGGGTCGATAGCTATTCGATGCAAAAACCTTGACACGAGTAAATTTGATGTCAGTGCTCCTTTAAATAAACAAACAAATAAGAACAAACCAATTCACTCCACCCCTAACTGCACTCTGCAATTAAGTGCTAGTAAGGTGTGTCATGAAAATATCTAGCTACTAATTTATTATTTTTGGCCAAGCAGTAAAGTAATTCATCCCACCATGGCTTATTACAAAGTTTATCACCAATCACCAACTTTTAACTGAAATTCGCACTTGAAATAAGCAAGTAGTTCAGACACAAGAAGAATTTATACCTGCGTTCACTGTTATATTCAATCGACCTAGTTGCAATGTTCTTAATTATCTATAGCTCTGTAAAGTCTAAAACTTGTACCTAAAGAAATGGTGAAGGGAACAGCAGAAGAATTTCTTTTTATAAGCGCAGCCCAATTCTGGCATGAATATGTAGCTTCGATAGTCCTCAAAGAACAAACTGTGAGCGGTAGGTCAGTATTATTTTCTTTTTGTTGCTGCAAGTGCTGTGCCAATGAAATAGAGCACCTTAAAACAGCACTTATGACTAACTACACTTACACTTTTTTTTTTTTTCGTACTACTATCTATATAATACGAAGATACCCTTTTCAATGCTAACAGATGGCTTAAGAAGCATAGCCTGACCCCAAATGTGTATATCCTGCCCTGACCTTTAAAAAAATAAAACTTTGATTTCTACCACTTTTAAGGTAGGTCACCACCTTGAAAAACCCGTTTTCATGAAACAATAAATTTTTTGGATTCGGCATTTTTATAACCCTTGTCTATTCTATGCATGACATTACTTGTCTATTCCATGAAAATACATAACCCTTGTCTATTCAAGAATATTTAGGACCAAGAATCATGAAGTTACCTCAAGCCGTTCGAAAGTTGTGACCATTCTTCGAACCCTCCTTGGATGCACTCGAAACCGAAACAGAAGGTTTCCAATTTCACAACATCTGCCATATCGTCATCAATGTTTTTTGTTAGACATGTAGCGAGAGGCAGAGAGATGTGAAGGACCTCGCCACTTTATTTTCCAGAGCCAAAGCAGGGCGGCGGCGCCTGGCAGCTAGGACACAGGCAGCCATGGCCGCCGTACTTTCATCCAGGATAATAAAGTGGCAAGATTCCACACGTCTTTCTGCCTCTCGCTACAGACATATTCTGTAATGCTAAGCTGTCAACATAGATTCTAAAGATTGTGGGAAATAATGTTGATTTATTTTAAAATGTCTACTACACATCTACGGCACCATTGTTTGGGTTGCGCGCATTCTTGCTCGGCTCTCTATGCTTTTGAGTACACTACCTACACCTTTTGAACTTTGTTCTGGCCTTAAAAAATAGAGTTCTAGTACTCTGTCACAGATGGCAAAGTATAGAACAAAAAAGAAGCATCAATGCAAGTTAAAAAGTGAATATATCAAGCGTCGACCTGCTTTGACGCACGTAAATGAGAGTCAGCTGGAGATGCAAAACAAGCTAGAAAAAAAAAAATATTTGCTTCAGATCAATCAAAAGGAAACTGTGCCACTTCAAAATATGTCCCAAGCTATGATACTGGTGAATTTTGCATATATTGACATTTTTACTATATGAACACTTGATTCGAATTTTTAAAGCCATTTTTCTCAGAACATTATTTTTGGGATCCTACAGTTATGCAAACAGCGATAACTCTTTTTCTTATGAATGTTTTCACATTCAATTTTTCTTACTACACTCAAACCTCATTATAACAAAACTGAATCTTACATGAAAATATGTTTGTTATATTGCAACACTAGTTTTCATTAACTTCGTTATAACCGATATTTCATTATATCCAGATTCCTTATATCGAGGTTTGGGTGTATTTCTTTAGAGGTAGAGCTGTGCATTCAAGCACAATTATACAAAACAAGCAGTACCTTTTCATACTATGGCTAATTGTATGCAACACAAACCTGCCAAATATAAAATTTTTCAGTCAATGAAGTTTTTCAGTTTCACCATCAGCAGCAAAATCATGAGCCAAGAGCCAGGCAATCACAGACGTGGTCCAACACGTGCTTGGCATCCTGGAAAACCAACAGCCAAAAGCAGTGCCCCCACGGGTTTGATGCGAGTAGGTAGCTGCTCCGGGACGTCCCAGGACGATAGACTATTGCTTAATTCGCCTACCTCTTACCCCTTCATGCCGGATCGACAATAAAGTTGTTTCACTCACTAAGCCTTTTGCGATAAAGCGCCATAACTTAAAGATGTGATAATCATAGATGTACCTGCTAAGTTGCGTTTGAATCGCACCAAGCATTTTCTAGTTGTGACAGTTGGCGCAAAACGCATACTTTGGAACTTTTTGATTTCTACAAATTTTATTTTTTACATCTTCAGCAGCTTCATCATTTTGTACCGTAAATTCGCCTAAGCCTTACAAGCCAATACCATAATTATTACTTCTGGACGAAACTGCTGTGAAATTTTTTTTTTTTTTTGAAGGTGGTGACCCTACAGTGAGCAGAGCTAGGACATGCAAGTACTAAGGTACAAGACGGGTTCTATTGTTATTCTCTCTCTCCCCATTATTTAAAATACAGCCAAAGGCTTCACCTTTGGCAAGCTCCATGCGCTTTGAGGCTTCCTTACTGGTTGGTGGACTCTTGGAAGTTTTGGCTGCCTTCTGATGGGTGTGCTTTGCCAGGGCGTGCTCAGTCCGCTCAGTGTGGCCCAATGGTACAGGAACGGCTTCTTTTGAAAATGTTCTTTTGTTTTCTGCACTTTCATTCACAGTAGTCGATGTGGGAGCCTTCACTTTGCTTCCATTTGAGCTTTCTGCGTCCTCCTCTTCGGTACTATCACTCTGGGTGGTTTCAGAGTCTCTGTGACGGTAAAGGATGACCTCCTCCCGGCGGCCACGTTCACGATCACGTTTCCGTTCCTCTGCATATCTGTACAGGCCCATAATTATACAGTATTCCATACAGTAGTCACAACGCATCAATGCTCATGACACTTGCCAAGGAGTGATACCAAGGGCTGTGTGGAATGCGAAAGTAGAGGTTTCTAGAGTAACTTTTCATTACTTCAGTTAAATTAATGAAAATTCAGTATGCCCACATTTATCTTTTTTAAATTTTCTTTGCAAAATGAATACCTATTAAGAGTGACGTCAAAGATGCTTATCATTATATTCAAGTTGTGCACTGAAGCTGTGACTGATGCACTGACCAAGTGGCAAAAAAAAGAGAAAAACCATAAGAGTGGCAATACGAAAGCACCGAAGTAATTAGATAATAATCCAGATTCTATAGTTTCACATCTTCTATGGTATAAACAGCTTCCTTTCGTGTCGCTGACATCAAATTAACTAACAGCAAAATGCAGTAAAATTAAGTTATTGTTGGCATTAGAAACAGAAGTGTCATAAACAAATTTCTTAATGAAGTGTGTACCAACATAACATACCGAAATGAAAACTTTATTGAAGAAGGAGACTTTTCTTTACTTATAGTGATAAGGCAGATGCTTATTTATAAGTGTGGCTACAGCAATATTTGGAAGACTCGTAGAAAATGTATTCAAATGCAGCCAGTAAATAGTAAAAGTAAGCTAGAACACATATTTTAAAATATGTAAATATTTATCTATTTGTACATATTGCGACCAATTCGACATATGGCAGAATTGATTTGATTTATGGGATTTAATGTCCCAAAACAACCCACACTATGACAGACACCGCAATAATAAGACAGACACCGCTATAACAAGAGTGGGTGTACAAACAATGACAAGCGTGTGCAAAGAGATTAATACAAAAGAATATATAAATATATATATATATATATATATATATATATATATATATATATATATATATATATATATATATATATATATATATATATATATATATATATATATATATATATATATTCACCACCATAGCATATACTAAGAGAGAGTTAATGATCAGACTTCACCATGCAATGAATTCCAATACTTAGTCATGCAGGGGAAACACTGTTTTTTGGAATACTTAGTGTGTGGATAGAACACTCTGATGTTTTTAAGGTTTAAGGAAAGGTAGCCTGAAATTGGTGTCTGATGAGCAGACATCAAATGAGAGGAACCTGAGCGGTGACAAAAGGAGCTTTCAAAAAAGAATCTTGAAATATTCAATGTGGTGCTATATTGAAAAAAGCTGGACGATTAAAGGCCAGCTGCAACGAAATTTTACTTACACGAAAACGGCCATAAATACGTAGTATAGATATGGTAAGTTACGATAACGACAGTGATCCCGGCTGCGGCGGCTGCATTTCCGATGGAGGCGGAAATGTTGTAGGCCCGTGTGCTCAGATTTGGGTGCACGTTAAAGAACCCCAGGTGGTCAAAATTTCTGGAGCCCTCCACTACGACGTCTCTCATAGTCATATGGTGGTTTTGGGACGTTAAACCCCACATATCAATCAATCGATCAATGATAACGACAGTGAAAAATCTTGCAGTCGCATATTTAATTTATAATTGGTGCTCTAATTGCCAGCAAGCAGACGACACGGAGCTTTAGTGGTGTGCTCAAGATAATCGAACAGAACCGGATATGACCAATACTACAGAGCGTCGCCGCGTCGCTCCTTGTAAGCAATCCTCCCTACTACTAAATCGCTCTTTCCTGCATGACGCCCGTTCGCGAGCGGCCGACTTGGAAAGATTTGCAGTACGATCCCAATGCTATGCATCGCCATAGACTGCGCTAATGAAGGAATTTTGAAAAATGGCGGCCAAGCCCACCTCACTTGTCATGTCGCAGTGCACGTCACTGAAAGTTGTAACCAAGGAAAGTTTAACCCACTCTGTGCCTACTTCACATCTCCATCTCTATTTTGTGGAAGAGGTGATCGAGCTTGTTGTTGGCATGACCGAGCTTGTTGCCATCTTGCAGAGCAAGACGAACCCACCAACACCGCTAGTGTCGGTGGTTTTTTCTGCTCTTCATGCATTACAAGACAGCGACTTGCCAGTAACGTAAGCAGTACTACTTCTTCTTGCTTCCTGCGTAGGAGAATCATCGAAGTCTACATCACCGGATAGCGTTGTGGCGTTTGCGAGATGCGTCAACAACCGGGTAACAGCGCATCCATCCCGCATTCACCCCGTGGTAGATGGCATAATCAGCGGCAGGAGAATTTCGCTTGCTGTAGAAAGCGGACGCTGCAGTGTGAACTAGGGGTACGTGGCGCGTCCGCGATGTGCATGCTCGAGGAGCGCGGAGCAGAAGATTTTTCTGTCGTTTACGTCACTTCTAGTCAGCCGTAATGGCGTCATTTTTTCTAGTTTTGGTCTCAAAAACGCCGTCATTTTCAAGTTTTTTTCTCTAAGGTAAGGGCTTGTATTTTGAAGGTGACATTTGGCAGGCAGCACTACCTCTAGCTAGTCTACCTATATATCAACTTTTTGTGGAGTGCCAAATTTCGTTGCACTTGGCCTTTAATCTCAAACGAGAAAGACTGTAAATAAAACAAGCAGCGTTCTTCTGAACTTCTGAAATTATGCCCAATGTCATTCTTAAGTTGGATGAAACAATATTTTGTACTCCACTAGATCAGTGTACCTTGTGGCAATGTACAAGGTATAATGGAGATAACCAAGTCTTTTTTTTTTTTTTTAGCTTTACAAGAGACAATCTATATACTTGGGCTAAGTCAAGGTGGGTTTTAAAAGTAACTCCTAAATATTTGTAATGCGTAACTCTGGTTTGTGATACATCAATGATATTGCGGCTGTAAAATGACGGGGCCTGTCTGTTAGAAAAAAAAAAACAGTGTAATTAGGATGGCTCATTGTTACTATTTATGTTACCACCTTTTCATTGTGGCTTGCCCTTGGAGAATCCATGGGATGCCAGCTTTAGCACCCATTTCAGTTCGCGAATGCATAAGACCTATACTGTGCACCCTATTGGCTTTTCACAT